TCAATCAATACATTAGATTAAAGGGTAAGTTAAGTGCAAAAATGTTCATATGGCAAAAAAATGCAACAGCACACCTGCAGAATGTTCATGAGTATACATGGGCCTCCTATGAAACATAACACCGCCAAACATCATCACCACAAACACTCCATCAATAAGCGGCACCACCCTTTGCAACAATGCGCACAAGACTCCAAGAGTGTCATATTTGTCATTCCAGGCGGAGCGCCGGCCTTCTCCAGCTGACAACCAGACACACCTGAAAGTGTCACACCTTGCTGGAAAATGTGGACTATGGGCCTTAGCAAAGGCATTTACTCTTACTCATACCTGCCAACAATCATTTGGCGTAGTATCACTGCAACATAAACCCTTGTCCACATCTTCGTCTCGTCACTCGCCAAGCTGAGCCGCTACGCCCACTTCCTCATTAAAGCTCTCATGTAAGTTTGAACGATGCCAAACTGTCTAAGCTGAAACCAAAGAAAATTAAAGTTTGCTTTTACTTCTGCAGTCCTTCTCTTAAGTTCTTAAAAAATAAACCTGTGCCACTGTGACAATACCATGCACCAAGGGGTGGAACATTTTTAGCTTTATTTCCATAGGACCATTATGTACAGTCGTCCTCAAATCTATTCAGACACGTCCATTAAAGAAAAGGCAAAATTCACAATAGTCACTCAAATAACTAGAAACTGAAAAAGTAATAATAAATAAAAAATTGCTAAATTATAATTTAGTGACATAAGATATTGCTGTTGAGTTGTGGTTTAAAATAATAATAATTAAAAAAAAAAAAAAAAACTGTCCCAGACAAATTAGAGCACTTTGCTGATGAGCCAAAATCAAAATACCTGTCAACAGGTGCAGAAGTCTGATTGAGAGCTACAGAAACACTTGATTGCAGTGATTGGCTCAAAGGGTTGTTCAACAAAATATTACTTTACGGGTCCCATTTGTCTGATTATTTTATTTTTTTTTATATTTCTGTTGAACCACAATTCAAAATCTGTGTCGTGATTTTCATTACATTTTTATTTACTATTACTTTTGTCAACTTATTTCAGTGACAGCTGTTTTCTTCCTTCTTTAATGGGAGGGTGTGAATACATTTGAGGACGACTGCAGTTTAGAATCAGAACTCATTGAAGAACCACAACTACAACGACCCACTGTGCTCCTTCTTCTCAATTAGCTGTGAGGAAACCCAGAGCTGCACTGCATTCGAAGAACTATACTGTCACTGACTTCAGGTGAAAGTCACAGCGAGCGGCTTGTTCCGTTGCTAACCAGGTAAGCATCATATACATTGTAATCGTGTCTTTTTCATCTCCTCACAGAGGTCACAGGTCAGCGTTCTCCTCGGCCCAGGAAGTGCAACATCCTCCCCCTGAATCACGCTTGTGTTCACGGTCAGAATGCTGCTGCGCCGGTTGAGCAGCTGAGCCAGACATACCTGTCATGGAGCAGTGCCTGGATCGCTCTCATGAGCTACACCCAGCTGGAATTCTTTACCTGTCAAGACAGAGGCAGGCCGCTTTGGCTTCATTAACATTCCCAAAAGAATCGAAAGTTGAGAAGAAATTTCTTTTTTTGTTTCTTGGAGACATTTAACCTCTAATCCAAGTTGTAAATGGAGGTAAACATCCTTTAACTGAAGTTCAGGAGCAGCACCACACCTCAATCACTCCCCTTCCTGTTATGTGTCTGTACACACCTTCCTGCCCATCACACTCGCTTGTGTTCGCTCGCTGTGTTATTGTGGCCTGGAAATAAAATGAAGAAAACTCCTCTTCCTGATTTACCTTTAAAACATTGTACAATTATGCTTACAGTTATATCATAAATATTATGTCTTTATTAGGCTAATGCTAATATCAGGCTCCAATTTGGAACAATGTGGGTTTATCTGGGGTGGATTATGGATTAATTAATTATCAGCCCACTGCTCAAGTACGACAGTGTTTCCACCCACCGACAAACGGTTTCAGGTTACGTTCTGAGCCGCAGGTATGTTTGCGGAGGCGTTTGGCATGCTGTTAATGCTTAAGCGGAGGTTGAACTGTACCCTTCATTGATCCATCACATCCAGTGATTCTCGCTCTAGTATCAGCGCAGGAATGCAGTGGTGGTCGGGTTAGTCAGGGGTCTACGGGGGGGTTCAGTCTCTGCACGATATCACTGATAGCTTTCAATGACACAACCTGAGATAAGCACAGCCCGGTCAGATACAGACCTTAACGTATAGGATGTGGAGTATTTCCAGTCTCCAAATGTCTGCACTACTCCCTCATTACCAAATTACTACCATATCTCTGAATGAGACAATGCATTTTTAGCTGCGTACGTAATCCACTCAGCAGATGTTATTATCCTTCAGCTGATTACGGAGAAAACCCCGTGGACCATCACCAGAGTGGATTCCTTTCTCTGCCTGCCTCCCCAGTCGCGTCACTCTTTTCTTGTCCGTATTCATACTTAAACCCGTGCAAGTCACTGTGTTATACTGCTGCGCTAAAAAAAGTAGACGTTCACAGAGAAAAGCCAAAGTGAACGTAAAGACTTCATCTGGTGAAGTTTAAAACGATGAATCGTATGAGATCGACCCCTGTGTTTGCCTGATATGTTTCAAATATGAATCAGAGGATGGATCTTTAATTCATGTGCTCTGATCAAGACCCAAAGTGTGCAAATTCTGGGCGGAGCTATTTCAGTGGTAGAGTGTAACATTAGTGAAGTCAGATACCCCTGTGTTTATTTTTGCTATACTAGGCTGGTTGGAATATTACATATCAGAGTCGACTAGTTCTTATCTTTAATATGGTTATGGCCAAAAGTTACCTTTTGAAGGAACACAAGTCTTTATTTTTTAAAAACAGCTCAGTGACATGATTTCAGGTTTATATTTGGAGAATAGAATAGAATAGAATAATAAATTCTCTCTCTCATTATTCTGGTGTTTAGCAAATAGAAATAATTTTGGTAATCCTAACTGACCTAAGGCTGCAAGGTGGTGCAGTGGTTAGCACTGTTGCCTCGCAGCTAGAAGGTCGCCGGTTCGTGTCCCGGTGAGGACATCCAGGATCTTTCTGCGTGGGTTCTCTCCAGGTTCTCCAGCTTCCTCCCACACAGTCCAAAAACATGTTGAGGTTAATTGGTGATTCTAAATTGTCCGTAGGTGTGAATGTGAGTGTGCTTGGTTGTCTGTCTCTAAGTGTAGCCCTGTGATAGACTGGTGACCTGTCCAGGGTGTCCCCTGCCTTCACCCTGAGTCAGCTGGGATAGTGAGGATAAAGCGATGTATGGATAATAGATGGATGGATGGATAACTGACCTAAAACAGGAAATGTTTAGTCACATTTAATGTCAGACAGTGGGAGGAAGAACAAGGTTATGTGTCTTTTTATAGTGCATGTAAACTTCTGGTTTCAGACTTATTCTCATTACCGGTGCAGCCTGTAGCAGTAGTTTGTGTTCCTACCGCTGCTGTCAACTCCCCTGAAGACAGTATTCATCCTGAAATGACAGCTGCTGTTTGTAGAAGAAATATAAACACCAAAGGGCTTGCAGAACAACCTTGACAGGTCCCGCTAAAGGCCAACAAAAGGTGAAATAACTCGACTGGTTAAGACTGCAGCCTGCAGAGAAATAAAGGCCAAACCCAAACTGTGATCAAGAGGAGAAGCCCCATAAGCCCCACCTTATCAAAGGCCTGTTTGGTGTAATTCACAGGAAATTCTTCATATCCTGGTGAATTTCCAGTTTTCACTCGTGAGACAGCTCTCCTCAATCACTCTTAGTTATAGGTGACTTAGTTTGGGCGATAGAGAAGAAAGGTTCCTGCTCTCCCTGGTTGCCAACGATAGCATTGACGTATATCTTTTCCCAAAGTTTTGGTGAATTGTTTTAATCTTCAGGTGTGGTCCGTCGCCCTGTTTAATGACTGAAATTGTTTGAAAGACATCATTTATCTGGCTAACATTTTCCCAGCTTCCCTAAAAGTCATTCTATACAAGACATATTCTTATTATCTTAAGCTGTAATTCTTATGTAAAAGCTGATTAAATTCTTCATTAAGGGGCTTCAAATTGATAGAACCTTGGGGCTGCTCTTGTCCAGAAATAATCACTTCTCTAAAAAAATGCCAAATGCCTCCTGACACCTTGTTATCTCATGACAGAAATGTGGTTCATTACATAACATCACCTATACTCTTATTAATGCTTGCACACAGCCCCTCTTTAACCTCTTTTATTAACAAAAAATGTCTCAAAACACAATGTCCAGCTCTGGAAAAATATGTTCCAAGTCTTCACCCTTAGATTCACCTTTAAAGTTATGAAGACTGACCTTAAGGACTTCACAACGCAACCACACACATAGTAGTTAGAGTACAGTGTCTGACAGGTTCAGCCACTGTAGTCCTGTTTGCCACACCCCCCTCAGCCACAGTGTGTGTGTGTGTGTGTGGGTGTGGGTGGGTGGGTGAGTTGCACACACACACACACACACACACACACACACAGTACAAGGGGTGTGCTCCTGTAGTTGCATTCATAAAGATGATTTGTGGACGTTTAAAGATTATATATCATCACGTGGTCCCTTTTTTTTTTTTTTAAAGAAAAGGTTATCCATATGTAATGTTTTCCACTGCAGCACATTACACTCACAGGGTTTTTTCCTATTTATTTTTTTTTCCAGTCGTCACACCCTATTTTTTTAAAGCTGTTTTGCATTTGTTTGCATTTTTGAGACATGAGAGCACCTCCTGATCTTTATTTTTTAACACTTCAAGACATTCTATTATAAAGTTTATCCAAATTTCTAATCTGTTTCTTTTACTACTAGATATTTTCATGAGATAATATAAAAAATTGTGCGTGTTTGTGGCCGAGGGGCGTGGCTTGTCTCCGTGGCCCCGCCCCCTCCCCTCCCTGCTGACAGGTACAGGGCGGCGAAGCTAAAAAAAAGTGTTTGTCGCAGGTGGTGCGTTCAGTGCCGCTGGTACAGTTTGTGTGGGAGGAGACGGTGACAACAGTGTGTGGACGTATCCGACACACACACACACACACACACACACTCCGGGAGCAGCGAACACACACAGCCGAGGTTCAGCTCTCTTGCTGGGACTCATTTATTCGTCGGACGTCGCTGACAGGTGACCCGCCACCATGATAAGGAAAAGGACCAAGGGCACCAACATAACGCAGCCAAAAGCAAAGTAAGTGGGAGAGTTTTCTTTTCTTTTTTTTCTTTTTTTACAAGCTATGGAAACAGTTTGTACTTTTGTGTCCTGCACTGCCCCTTCCTTCAACTTCTTGCTCTAAAACTGTTTTTTTTTGTCCTCATGTTGTTACTAACAGAAGTATCACTTTTTAATCAATTAAGATTTTACCAAACACACACTAGAACTAGACGTTCCCTGTTTCAGTCAGATTTACTTTATACCAACAAAACAACAACCCCATGCACCTGAAAGCTATTTTCACAGTTTAAAATAATCCAGTACTTGCAAATAAACCCCAGTCTGCCTTGAGACAGAAATGAGAGAAAACTGCAGGTTGGGTTGCACAATGTGTCCTTTAACTCCAGTGTGGGTGTGGCTGATAAGCTGTAAAAAAGTTGTAGTAACTGGTTTGATAAGTATTCTGCTGTCTCTGTGTTAGAAGACAATATGTGAGGAGTTGCTTTCAGCCTCTCCCTCCAAACTGCTGCACCAAGCCCAGGCCATATCACTCCTGGCCTTTGCTGTCCTGCCCTGCTCTCCCTGTGGTTCCACGGCGATGTGGAAATCATTACCTTTACGGACTGCTCGCTTTCATTTCAACCACTGCTTTCACTCGGAGCCAGCTTTAGGATTATGAAGGCCTTGAATTAAAGTTTTTAAGCCCCCACACAGATGCACAAACTAGAAATGGACACTTCAATTGATTGTTTTACTTGAAAACAGTGTGTGTTACAAATAGATTAAAAGTTGAGAAGTTAAAAAAAAGTAATTGTGTTTAATAAACTTGCACATAACGAGGTTTTGAAATCGATGACCAATGAACGCAGATGTTTTGGTTGCTCAGCTGTGACCTCCACAGCTGTAAGAGAAGGGAGTCGGCAGCAGTCATGTCAGCTGTCGAGATGGATGGTCCTGGTGAGCAGAGGTTGCTCCGAGATATGTTCCCCTCGGAAAGAATTTACATTAGATCGCTAATTCAACGCAGCAAGAAAGCATTTGTAGGTAGTCAGAGAAAAAAAATAATATGTTGGGCTTGAAAAGTTTCAGAATCAGCCTCTAAATGTTGCAATGATGCATTTACCACGAGCAGAAGTTTCATTCAGTCACATTCAGCACCATCAGCAGTCGCCCACACCTTCATTCAATCTTCTTTTTCATCTCTAATTTTCTCTTCGTCAAAGTTTCCTCTTTGGAAACAATATGCGATTGTGTGGTGGCCCCACCTGGCGGTTGTGTTTCTGCCAGTGGCCCTGTTCAAAGCCAGCGTCGTGTTGAATACCCAATAACTGACTTCAGTTGTTTTTTTTTTTAATCCTCCAGTGCAAGGTGTGTTCCTCCCACTGACACACCTGCCATCAACCGAAAAGAAATGTTTTTATCTCCCCCTGTAGGATTCACGGTCTCTCAACCATACCATGCAGTGGAATCTCGTTTATTTACTGGGTCCTATTACACTTTTGATCAAGTTAAGAGATTACATTTTCAGTAAATTATCACATTATTGGCGCTATTAGAGGTTGTTGAATGGTGGACCCTGAAGGCGTCACGTAGGCCTTTCAAAGTAAAAGTACTTCATCTTCTTCAAAAAAATGGATTAATTTGTATTTTTAGTTGTATTTTATGCGTGTTTTAGTGTTGGCTATAACATCACCTACCATCTTAAATTGTATTCCTACTTTAGGATTCATTTTTTCCCTCATGGTCGCTCAACCACTGTCCTTTAGTTAAATGAGCCCATTAGCTGGTTTCTACTCTTCACCGTGTGGAGCTCCTGTAAGCCATTATTGTAACTCTTCTACCGTGATAACCACCAACAGACGGTAATGGAATCCCAGTAATGCAACTCCGCCCTGTTCGTGAAGCTCTTCTTGTTCAGGTTTTAGTTCAGTGCATGTAAAAAATAAAACAACAATCTAGTAGGCTGTCAGTAGGAAGCGAGGTAACGGTGGCAGCTTTGAGTCACTGCACCAAAGCCTCAGAGCTGAGAAGCAGCATCTACTGAGACATGCAGGGATGTTACAAGGATGTTAGGTAAGAAATTAGACAGGCAGCAAGAAGAGAACTGTATGGTTTGCGTTACATTTAGTCTCTTTATCTATACATGGATGGATTTCTGAATGGAGCTTACCACAAACTGATGGTTCAAAGTGACCGCAAAGACTCAAAAAAAAGATGCAAAATGACCTCAAACTGACACAACATATCCACAGGGGTACAAGCACTGCACATGGAGCACAAAAAAAGCAATGCAGCACTCCTATTTTAAATCTCTCATAATGTTTCTGAACCTACGCTGTGGGCACGTGAATGCAGAGCAGGCTGAGGAGGTTTGTTGTGATGCTCAGAGGCAGCAGCAGCAGCCCTCCACACGCTCTGTGACTTAGCGCTGAAGTGTTCTGGTTCCAATTTGACCCTCTCCCTGTGGAAACATGTGAGTTGTGTTTCTCAGGCTAATGCTCCAGTGCCAGTTCCTTCCCAGAACCAACAACAACCGGTCAAAACATTGAGGTGGAGCCAGCGGGCCTTCCCTGGAATCTTCCGACGGCACATGTGGACCTCTGAGTACTGCAGAGCAGAACTGCTAGAATCAGTGCAGCATTGTGTCGTGCTGCTTGAAATACAATTCTAAAATGAAAACACAAGTGCTTGTCGCGAGGTAATGTGAGGCTGTTCCCTTTAAACAACACTCAGTGGGACTGCTAATGACGAAGGCGGATCAGTTTACATCTGTTCTGAATTTTGGAACAAAAACATCTAAGCTTTAAAAATGTTCCTACACTAGTTCTATACAAAACCACTGCTGTTAGTCATTCGATATCATGCAAGGAAATAGTTACTTGTCTCAAGCACCGAACCTTGTAGTAACAATCAAAACCCATGCAGTTTAGGAGCTGTGCGGTCGGTTAAGCAGCGTTGTGCCCACGCAGTGATCCGTTGGTTTGAATGCCTCTGTGAGAAAAGACAACCTTGTGTTTCGACTTGACAGAAATCCTCCTCGGGGTGTTTTTCGTTTGGGATAGGCCTCGACAGACGAACTACCAGCTGCTTCTGCAGAACGCGGTGGTACATTCTAGTTCAAACTTGTTCTGGTAATTGTATCATATAAAAAACCCACCACTAGCTTTGAAATGACAGTCAAGGTCCAATGTGCTCTCTGCAGGCGTTACGTAACTTGTGAGCAAACGGTGAATGGGTGTGGACGTGCGTGAAGAGATGGGTGGTGGACGTGAAGTGACATTGTTCTGCATCGTTACTGACACACACACGTGCACACAGGCACAGTTGTAACAGAACTGAATGTCAAACGGCGGAATTGTAATAGTTTGTGCTGTTGTTCAGCTCAGCTTTAACATTCCCTGATATCATAAGAGGAATTTATTGGAAGGACAACATAAAGATCTAATCTCCAACCATGATCTATGCACACCCCTTGATCCCATGCAGGGTTACAAAGGTGCTGGAGGCTATCTCAGCTGGTTTAGGATGAAGACAGGACAGGTTGCTAGTCAATCACAGGGCAAATTTAGACCTAAGCATGTATTTGGACTGTGCGAGGAAGCCGGAGCACCGACAGGCACAAGGAAGACGTGCAAATTCCACACAGGAGGGCTCCAGCTGAGATTCAAACCTTCTAGCTAAGAGGCGGCAGAGCTAACCGCTGCTCCACTGTGTCACCTCATGTATTAATCTGCTTTATTAACTTTGTCACAGAAATTCTCCTGGACTGTGACTGTGCATGCAGGTTATAGAAAAGTTATCAGCAATTGAATTAGGTCAATGAATCTGTACTGATATCAATTTTTGAGAGTTCGATAAAGTAGATAACAGTGTCTAAATCAATATATTGCATTTAAACAGATAACTTCAGCCCACAGGATATCGCTGGTCAGCATTAGCTTATCATAGATACAAGTAACAAGTAGGCGTCGACTGATATGTTTCGTCGCGGCTGATATCAGCACCGATTATTAGTAATCAAAGAGACTGACAGCTGATATTTGGACCAGATGTACATATGCAGTAAACTACTGATAGAGAGAGGTTGCACATTTTTACGCTATTGTTATTCAGAAAAATGCTTAATATCCGATACCTGCCCAGGCTAATAGTCAGATCATCCTTGGTAGCAAGAAACTAGAATGTGTTTTACTTTAAAACAGAAGGGCTATACAGTGTTTGTCCTTATGATCATATATGTTTGTCATTACACCATTAAACGAAAAGAAGTTTCCACATACTGGATTACAGCCTCCATCAAAGTTTGTATCGGACTGAAAAAAGCACCAAATTAATGTCATCATGCTGACGTCAGCTTGACATGATCTAATAAGAGCCAGAGGAGACAGTATCTAAACACATGTATCCAAAAAGTACCCTAATAAAAAAATAAAAAAATAACCATGTGGAAGGAATGTGTGCATGATGCCAAGTGATCCCATGCATTTGGTAACTGAGGAATTGCGAGGGACATTTTGCAGTATTAAATTGAACTTGTCAGGGTTCTCTGGTGGTCAAACTGTGATTGATCCTAACCTACTCAGTCATGTGACAGTTTATAACCAATCACATTTCTACGCCTAGTTCAACGTACACGAGTATGTTTTAAAGCAGAAGTTTTCCTAAGTGTCGTTTTCAGTGACCTAAAGTCGTGTGTCCTTGTTAACAAAAGGCGAAAACTCTACATTTTAAATAATTCCCATGTACGTGTGAACAGTGCCTACACAGCACAGAACCTGTTTCTCCTGGTAAGATAACAGCATTGCGTAGTTGGACACATTTCCAATTCCAAAGAACTTCAAAGTGTTCACTAGGAAGTTGGAGTGGTGGTGACCTAAGTCTGGAACCAGACTTTGACACAGGAGACTGAGGTTTGTATCCCATGAGGGACCATTATTCTTAGGCTTTAGTTTTGTTTTTAGTCACTGTTTGGTTTGGTTTAGGGCCTGAAACTTTAGAAAGATATCATGGTTGAGGTTGGAATACTGACAGTGTGACATGCCACACCCCATCTGATATATATTTGCAGGAAGGGAGTGACAGGAGCAAAGCAATGCAGTAAATCTGCAAAGATTAGAAACATATTTTGTTATGTCACAAACTAATGTAATCCAGGAGAAAATGTGATTCCCTCAAATTGTAATCGAGATGCAGTCTAGTTGTGCAGTTCTTTGGAGACGAGGCTGTTTGTTGTTAGTCAGTCAAAAATGAGCTGAAATAGTCCATCGGTCAGGCTCTAAGTGTCAACCTGCAATAACGAGGACAATCATGAAGGTGATCCAACAAACATTTGGCTCTGAGTACATAAACTCCTCTTAGTGCTGCTTCACAGGAACACTTAGGTACATTACAGCAGTTGATAGTTGTCACAGTGTTTGGACGAGGTGTGTCGGTTTGATGGCATGAAGCAGAAACCTGCTGAGCCAGTTTCCTTCACTTTAAGGAATGATGTAAGTTGTCTGTTGTGAAGGTTACTGTCCTGATCTACCCTTCACTTCTTAATTTGCATATTCACAGTGAAAATCAGGCACATCGTTGACTGATGGATGTGTTTGGAGGGTATGAAAGCTGCCAGTGTGTACCTCTGTTTTGAGTTCTACAATGTTGTTGTGATGAGTTCAGTTCATTTTCAATCCGATCTATGGGTGCTACTGGTGTGTGTTATGATTCAAAGATAAAAAAGCTGTGATTCATCTGCTTGGCATGAGGATCCTGAAGGTAATAAGCTGATGAATAGAGGCAGTCAAATTATGGCCCATTAAGTCCTTAATAGCGATAAACCTGCCTCATAGCGATATCATAGTACACAGTAAAGTGTAGTTCCAACTCCCTTTTCCTTTGAGTCATTTGGAGCTAAACCAGACCGGAGGTACTTTTTCTAAAACTGTAGTACACTGACATGGGCAGATCATAGTGATCAGCAGTCTCTCTGGCAGCATGGTCGAGGAGTTGTCGTGTACTGTATGTCGACTGTTGTCACATTTTCCACCCAAGCACAAGAATACATGAAAACTCTACTCAGCAAGTTACCATCACTTGAGCTGCACACATTCGTAATGACGTTGTCTATAGTGTGGGTCATCAAACCAAAATCTCAGTTTGAATGAAAATACATTTCTCATAATGTAACTGGATGTTTGCTGCAAAGGGAATCCTACATTTGAATTTAAATTTCTTCATGTTTTTCGAGATGTTTTTGCCCCATTAGGAAGCTTTCCCCTCCACTGTACAGAAACAGCCTCCTAATCGGCCCTCATAGTCTCTCTGTTTCCTTTTGACCGCAACATGAAGTGTGCCAAAACAATGACAAATACTTACTGGACGAAACTCCACTCCTGTGAGCACGTAGGAAATAGAGCAATGTTATGTCAGCCTACATGGTGGATTTTACATTGTTTACGGTGGTGTTTGATTGATGAAAACTGCTGTTCGACGAAGGTGTTGACAAGGCAAAAGAATGTCGTCTTCTCTGAGTTTCAGCCTCAACACCCACACAGCAGTGATTCAGGACCAGTCAGAAAGCAAGTCCTGTTTTCTCCTCTGGAAACAGTCCTGGAAGAGGTTGTAGAGGGTCAAAACACACACACAGAGGTTTTGCCTGTGTTCAAACAGCTGCAAGTTCCTGCAGTTCAAAACCCCCTATTGTCAACTGTAAGAACAAACATCGTCACTGTTGCTCAGTGCGTCCAATACTTTTGTATTTTCTGCATATTCAGGAGCTTTTATGGTGGGGCTTGATGTTGATACTTGACACAGCATTGTTGTACGACCTGCATTCTTAGAAGTTGTTGGAATGTGACTCAGAAAGCTTCACTCAATTTCCATTCGCCTCTTTGTGTTCGCCTTCCAGTGCTCCCTCTTCAGAACTGAGCGCTCTGATTGAGAAGCTGCAGAAGAATGCTGATAAAGTGGAGAAGAACATCTACGACGTGGAGCAGAACCTCAACAAGGTACCGTCTAACCATTTCTCCAAACATTTTATATACTTTGCCCACTTTATGTAAGTGAAAAGAATAAATTGGGCAATTTTTCACCTTCTCCAGAGGAAGGTAAACGAATCTGACCAGCTTCATTTATATTGTATGCTATAAAAAAATGAAAGCAGGCCAAACACAGAGGAGTATACCTTTTGGGTGCTAGGGATGATAAATCTCTGAAACCAAAAGCTTGCAACATTGCAGGAACAGTTATCGATTGAGCTGAAACTGGAGTTTTCCAGGGAAGAATGTTAGGAGGTGTGGCAGAGGAGTGGCTGGATGGCCGACCAGTGCAGTGCAGCAGGCTGAGAGAGTGGACTGGTGAGGTTCTGGGCAAAGCTGGTAAACAGAGAACATCAGGAGGCAGCGAACCTGAAGGAAGCACAGATTTAGGTTGGGTTTTAAACAGCACAAAGAATTACAGAACTTGTGCCCAAAAGTGGCCAATTGGCTGAGAATGGGTTGTTCGAGCTGGTGTCTCTGAACCACAGGAGCTCGATTGGTGGATGAGTCACAAATGTGCAGATAAACTGGCAGCATGAAAGGAATGAAGAGCTACGCCCAGACAAACACACCCACGGTCAGAGAGAGAGAGGACATAAAAGAAACACAAGGAAGGGGGGAAAACAGCACAAACGCTAGGAATGAAGCACAGCCAGCAACATGACGTTTGGCGTTTACCCTCGGCCTCCTCCCATTTCAGTCTGTGAAAACAAACACGAAGGCTTGGACCAACTGTTTGGTTAAATTGATGTAATATTATTTTATGTCATGTGCACTTTAGCAAAACACTGAAGAGCAGGTACTGTAGCTGTAGTTCTGAATTTCAGTTTAAAGGCCTGTGTTGGTTTTGCCTCCACAGTTTTGCTTCATTTAATTAGAAGAACATAGAATTTGTTCTCCCATAAGATTGGAGGAGCTTTTTTGTTGTTGTTGTATTGAAGCATAATAATGGAAATTTGGCTGGAAGAGTAGGAAAAGGTGCACAAGCAGCAGGGCTGACCGCAGCTTCGAGAGGATTGTCCAGAAAGATTCAAGAACTTTAGGGAGTTTCACAAGAGGTAGACGGCCACCAAACACACTGGACAGGAGCTACGACTGTTGTATTCCTGATATCAAGACACTACAAACTTTGTATTTCATTTGGAAATCAGGGTCCTAGAGTCTGGAGGACGAGCGCTCCGAGTGTTTGAAGTGCGGTGTGAAGTTTCCGCAGCCTGTGATGATTTGTGGCGTCATTTCATCTGTTTCCGTTGGTCCGCTGTGTTTTATCAAGTTTAAAGTCAATGCAGCGTCTACCAGGAGATTTCAGAGCACTTCATGCTGCTGACAAAAGTTATGTCACAGTTCTGCTGGAAGAACCCAGGGAGCAGACACTAACGAGACCGGAGAAGTAGTCAACAAAGCGTTTACTTTACAGTTAGTGAATCACACGGTGAACACAATGTGCGAGGATTAAAAAGCAGACAAACCAAACAAAGCATGAACATGATAATTCCATGATGATGTTATGATTCCATAACTGATGGAAAACCTAAAACTTTTTTTCAATCTAATTATTTGAGATGCACTCGTACAGAGGTGCCCAGACTTTGTCGGCTATATATACAATATATGTCGTCGTACTTTGCATAATTGCAGAACCCTTGTGGCACAATACAATTCTGTACCTTATTCTGATGACTTACACTGAATGGAATCAGCCAGGGTTGCATCGTCCAGACAGTAGGTTGATCGTGCATGCGTGGTGTTCGAAACGACGAGATCTCAGACTGGCTGCTCTGTACGTCAATCAAGTGGCAAATGCCATAGGAAGGATAGATGATAAGCTCACATTAGTTATTTTTTTTGAATGGCATGCGATATACCTGCACTACCGTTGCGATCGACCGGTTGATTGCGATCTACGTATTGGGCACCCCTGCGCTAGTACATATCGTGTAATGAATATATGTAGTGCTAATACTCATATTACACTCTTAAAAACATTTCTAAGTCTTCTAAGGGATCTTCCATGTCCTGTTAGTTCTTCCTCTGCTCATGATCCACCAAGTCTCAGTAAATCCTACCTCGTAGTTTGTGCATGATCTTGATAACAGACAGATCAACAGACAGAAAAATGACACTGAAAACGTGCCTCATAATCTCACCTGAGGCTGCAAGTCCTTCAGACTAAAAACCTGTCTTCACCTGGTATGTTTATTATCGTTATTACTGCGGCTTGTGTTTACTTGGACATGAAATACTTCAAGAGTCGCTTTGTCCCATCTGACTTGTTTTTTTTTTGCTGCAGGATGTGAGTAAGATCAATGAGGGGAAGCAGCCACTGTATCAGGATGATACCAACAAGAGGATCCTCAATTCTCTGGATCTGCTCACCGGGCTGGACGACGATGCCGTCAACGCCAAACGCCTCCAGCATCCACAGGCTGAGATGATCGAACAGGAGTGAGTTGGTTTTATCTGCCAGTGCCAGCAAGCTGCAGCAAGTTTATCCTCAATGAATCCTCTGTTCATCATTTTTCTGTTTACCAGTTAATGCACCTTCACAACCTCCTCTGTTCACCTTAAATTCAGAGTAAGATGCATCTCCAGCACTTATTCCACCATTAAAACAACAGTGTCATGTCATTTGTGCATCTGTTCTCAGTTTGTCTTTCGTAACTGAAATATCCACACTGCATGCATATATTTATAAATCTATTATAAATGCAGCTCAGTAGGTGTAGTTTCTCCCCCCTGCAGAACACATTGAGTTTTTATTGTTTCCTGATCCAGTATCGATGGGATTTTGTAGCCACTGTTCAAAGAACTTCTTTGACCTACTTGAACACAACACTCTAGGTCAATGTTAACAAAGCACTCTGGCCTTTTGTGTGTGTGTCTGTGTGTGTGTGTGTAGGTGTGTGTGTGTGTGTGTGTGTGAGAGAGAGAGAGAGAGAGAGAATACCAGCTTTTACTTTTAGAATGTTTTGCATACTGCTATTATCAGAATACAACTTTAAACTTTACTCAACTGATCATTTGTACGTACAGAAGCTGTGTTTTCTTGTCATGGTGAGCAACATTTCTTTATTTAATTTACACCAAACCTTTCTGTGCCATCTTGTGTGCGTTCAGCATGAGGCAGCTGCGTGAGAGAGTGATGAAGCTGAAAGAGGACCATGACCGGATCTACCACCTGATCCGTACTGAGGGGATGCCCAGCATCAACTGGGGCAACATGATGGATGAGAAACTGGTAAGAAACACATCAATACGTTGACTCGTGGTGCAGCCGTGGACGTCACATCCACCTCTGTAGATCAGTCAGAGCATTTTCCTCAACAGGCGGTGATCTTTGGTGCACCTTGCTGATGTTTCTAATGTTTATTATAGACTGTACCAATTTGTTTTCCAAATTTGATGCACACAAACACATACAGTCTTGCAGAGCAGTTAAAACTACTGCATGTTTAATTGCTGCCAATGGATCATAAAATACCTGCAAAAGAAACCAGATGCCAGACTGATAGCAGCTTTATTGTCTGCAAACTAAACAAACACTCTACTGTACATTTTGTTACTGTTCAGAGGGACATTGTGCAAACACAGAACTGCTGCATATCGAGTTGCTAACTCTGCTCTGATCTCCAGCCACTGCCGCTCTCACAACCACACGCCTACGACACTGAGCGCATTTATCACTTCATATCCAAATAATGTATTCGATTACACACCTACTAGTTGGTGAGCAGAGTGAAGCGTTTAGCATCTGAAGGAAGAGACAGGATACGGTACAGACAGAAACAGAGCTAAAAGGCAACCAAATATGAGCCTGGCATCCATCACAGGGACACAAACACAACATCGAATTACTTCTGATGTTGCTCTGTAACTGCTGGACTCTACATGCCGGTAGAAGATGTTGTCATTTGCTGCTACAAAGAGGAGAAAGGTCCTAAAGCAGGACATAAACAGTGTTTATATTTAGTGACTTTGCACAATGATGTTAAAGGGGTTTAATATGGAACAACATCCACTTATTTGGACTGTTTCATTATGTGGACAACCTTCAGAAGATGTCGTACATTCTAAAGTGGCCCTTCCAGAAAAACTTCCAAGCCTCCATTATTAACAACTAACTGTATTCCTACATAAACTGCTTGGCCGTTTTCAGCAGTGTTAAAAACAAAGTTAATCTCAGGGGCCAGACCAAGTCAGATCCAAACTGTCCTGTTTTGTCTCTCTGCACAGGACAACCTGAACAACAAGGGCTTCGGCCAGGACCTGCCGTCTGTGGAGAACGAGGTGGAGGAACACAACATCTTCCACGGCGAGGTGGAAGCTCTGGCTCCTCACATCACCGCCAGTGGGGACAAGGTAGGAACGAAAACCCAGAGACTCGATTTGCCAGGTTTGATGATTAATAGTGACCAAAACAGGATAATAACCACGAAACTGTCCGTTCATTGTCAATAATTCCATTAGCTGTAGATAAAAACAGATGATAGTCAGCGTGAACTGGTCGAATAAAATGTTTTCATTATTTATTAGGCACACAATGACAACATTATTCAAAACTAGCATAAGCAACATGTGCAAATGCATTTTTAAAAAAAAAATGTTTATATTGGAACTAAATTGTGCAACAGCTTGTTATGATTGAAAGCAGGAGTGTAACTTCTGTTATGTGTTAGTTGCTCATGTGACATGACTCTCATCATGCTTGTCTGGTTTTCACTTTATGTTTTCTTTGTTTCTGCAGGAGTACGTGAGCAGCCTCCAGATGAAGTACAACAAACTGCTGGTAATAAATCCACACATTTAGTCTCTAAGCCCACTGCCCTGTATTTACTGTGTGTATACAATAAATATATATGCCTTTGTTTATCTGTGTACGTCATTTTAATCAGCATAAGTAGTGACTGTAAGCCGAGCACGTCACACACTTCACACAAACACACGTTTTCTTCTGGGCCACTGTTGTCCATAATCAGCGAGCCACACCATTACACTGTTCCATGAACATACATATTGTTATACTATTCTGACGCTGCTATGGATTATTTCCATGTAGAATAACACCATGTTTTATCCCTTAAAACTAAAATTGACACAACATGTTAAAATGTATAGAAAAAAGCAGCAACAGTTCAGCTGGTAAGAAAGTGATTCAACTGCAGGATTGCTGTTGTTTTTTCCTAAAAGTTACCACAAGTTTCCCGGTTGTTTGATATTTTAAAATCTTCTGAGCATCCACGATTATTATAAATACAATCCACTGAGCTAATACTGTATGTTGTGGTATAAAAAATGACTGACACACAGACTGTACTGGTCTTCACTGGGACTGAAAATCACCAGAAATAGTTAAAAACTATATAATACCAAAGTCTGAGACTTTAATGTGACAGTATGGTGTTTTTTCTACATCGGTGAAAAAACGCAGTTAAATTTATTGTGTTGAACTTTATCAGATGAGCACTAATCATCTTGTCTTTTCCTTGACCAGGCCAACTCCAGCGCTCGTCAGCGCAATCTGCTGAGCCTGCGGGACTACATGCAGCGCTGCACCAACGAGCTGTACTGGATGGACCAGCAGGCCGAGGAGAGGGTCAACTACGACTGGAGCGACTCCAACCTGGACTACCCTGCTCGCCAGAAGCAGTACGAGGTAGCTGACTTAGACACAAACTGATTATCATGAGTGCACAAAAGCATGGAAACTAATAAAGTAATTAAATATGATCCTGAGCTTACGCCACACATCTGTGTCACCCCAACAGAACTTCATCAGTAAATGTCTGGAGTCCAAGGAATCTACCATCACCAAGCTGAATGATGATGGAGAGAAGCTGATTGCCTCTGAACATCCAGGGAAGAATGTCATTGAGGTACAGCCTCGTCTATTTGTGTATCCTGGCTGCCATCTTGGACTTCACAAGCTTCTCATTTGTAGCCTGCCCTTCTGTACTCCATTCATAAAGACAATATTTGCTTTGCTAATTCAACGACACCGATACTCCAAGATGACCATGACATCAGATAGTAGATAGCTGGCGGCCATCTCAATCTGAAAAACTAAAACAAGTTAGCGGTTCTTATTTTAGTCTGCTAAGATTTCCAATCTTTCAGAAGCAAAATAGTTTGTTGGTGGCTTTCCCAGAGGGACAAGATGATGATACATACATTTTTTTTTTTTAGATTCATTCTTAAACACTTCAGAACCGGCCTGAGAATTATATTTTCAATGTCACCATAATGCAGTGATAGCTGTCTGGACATATGTGGGGACGTCGATGAGAAACAGAAACCGCTAATGGCTAATTCAGAATACTTTTTAATTGTGTCACATTTAAAAAGTACACACATTTAAATACAAAAACAACACGGGCTCACGGAGAAAGTCACGACTAATCAGCTAACTGTGCTTCCTCTTTACACCCCATAAAACACTACGGGTAAAGTTAGCATGTGTTTCCTTCAAATACAAGTAAGATGGGGAATAATAGAAGGAGTGACACAATTCACAAACACTTCCTGTTGCCCTGGTAAGCCTTCAGCTTTGCAGCCTGTACAACTAAAACCTTTATGTCCAGGCGTGAAGACCTTAGTTTTCAAGTCCTTGATTTGTGTTGCTCGTTCTTACGCAGTTAATCTTGAAGCCCGCCTTAAGAATTCAACTGCACTTTTAACAACTTGTGTTATTTTAAATGTGGTTTATACTTTTCTAAACAAACGGCCACACACCTTGTTCTCAGGCTCACATGGAGGCGGTTCACGCCGACTGGAAGGAGTACCTGAACCTGCTCATCTGTGAGGAGAACCACCTCAAACACATGAGCGAGTACCACAAGGTGAGACCCAGAGGACGTGTGATGTTCAATGACACACGGAGACACCATTGAACAGGTGAAGCTCATCAGTGTGTGTGTGTGTGTTTGTGTGTGTGTGCGCAGTACCACAAGGAGGCGCGCGACACTCAGGACCTGCTGAAGCGACTGGACACGGAGGTCAACCAGAAGTACAACCCAGAGTTCAAAGATGTGTATCAGATGGAGGGGCTGATCGGAGAGCTGGATGTAAGCTTCTCTTTTTTGCACAATAACTAACAGCACCATTGATTATATCTAAATACAAATCTGTGTTTCTGATTGTGTGCGTGTAGGACCAGTCGAAGGCAATGGATCACTTTGACGAGCGCGTCAAGGCTCTTCAGAAGCGCGGCCTGCAGGTTTTGCCTCTGAAGTATCGCAGGGAAACGCCCCAGAAACTGCTGCCCGTTGAAGCTCTGTGTGAGTTTGACACAGATGAGGTATGTACAGTTTTTTTGTAGACCTTTGGGTTAGAGCTGCTATGATCCACTTTAGATAATAGAGCCAGTGGTTTCATTCACGTGCACTGTCTCTCTAATCTGAGGTCATTTAAAGGTGCATGTCAGGATATTTTTACTTCCTCTGTCTTCCTCCCTAATCCTTCTCACCCGCTTGCTTTTTTAAAATCCCCTTCATCTTTACTTCTCTTCTTCATTTTCATTCTCTTCAGTTCTGCGGCTTAATGCACGGCACTGTTCCTTCAATCTCCTTTGTACCTATGGCGAAGCACTCTCTTTTTGCTTTACTTTTCCTAAATGCTAGGCCTGTAACTTAGGGGTTTTTGTGGTGTAATATATTCAAATCCCTTTAGAAGAGAGCCCGTCTGAGACTCTCGAGTCTCGTAGGAAAAAAACCACTGGGATCAGAATGCAGTCGATTTAAAGAAGTCTAGAGAGCTTTGCCATCGAGTTACAGCAAAGATCTTCACATGTTTAGCTTCAGGTTGAGGTGATGAGAATTGAGACGTATTTATCTTACAGAATTTACTGATGTGATTAATTTATTTCATATGTGTTCTTGATTTATTTGATATTCAACAGTTTGTGGTGCCTCTTTTAGACCAAAGTATAACCAGTTATGAATAATTTTCTAACTATAATTCTGTCTCCTGATCATGTTTTAAATAATAAACTATTAACAGTAGTCCCACTTTGCTGATAGCATATAATGGCAATTAGAGGCACTATCAATAAAATCAAAAATACCACTTAAGTCTCTTTAAATGAATTCCAGATTCAGTAAGCTAGATTGCCTCGGAGTAACCTACAGTTGTGATTCACTAACTGATTATCTCTGTTGATCGTGTGCAGGGGCAGATTGTGCGTGGGGAGAAGTACACTTTGCTCCGGAACAATGGTTCCAAATGGGATGTGAAGGACGCAGCTGGACACAAACTCACCGCCCCGGCCGTCTGCTTCATGATCCCCCCCACCGACCCGGAGGGAGTGGCCATCTCTGACAAGTAAGAATGCACGAGCCACTTTCTAAGATCATTCGCTGGATGAGAGAGCTGCAGGTGTAACGGCGTGTCGTATTGTGCGATTGCAGCCTGGCCAGCCAGCAAAAAGCCCTCAAGCAGAAGATGGCAAGCAGCAAGGGAACTCTGCTGAAGCGCTTTGATGAGCTGAAGAAGGAGAGTGGCACCGGCACAGCTACAGGTGCAGATTCAGTCCTCTTTTGCAACTTTTGCAACTTGTCATGCATTTACTCTGCGATGCATTTGTTACTTACTACTAACGAGGCTACATTTTAGAAAGCACAGAGAAAGAGGATTTGAGAATATACCTTCTACAGTGGAGGGTTAGAAACCAGGTCCAAAGTTCTTGCACTCTCTGGTGTGACTGTCTGTCAGTGGATTTATGATGGTTTCACTGGCTGCAATTTTTATAGGAAGTAATGAGAATTTTAAGGTGGATCTGTGTTATGTCATCTTTAAGCCTTGCCTCTGGGCTCTAATATTTTAGTTGTGCAAACCCTTGATCAATGTTTAATCACATCACAATGAGGCACAGTGGGGTTTGCATGGCATACAACCACTAGTGTTCATCATAATCAAAACTTAAGCTACAAAAATACGACCAGTATTGTAATAAACTGTAAAAATCCATTAAGTCACAAAATAAAATGGCACCAAAATGCTATTTGCTTTTCTACTGAAAATGTTGCCATTCACTTATGATAGATTAGAATGAAAATAATACACCATGACATAAAAACTATCTGCTGCTGGGCATCAGACAAAGATTTCAGAGGAAATCATGCGTCCCGTAGAACATGTTTTACTGCCAGCTAAAGCTTTCAGTCTGCGCCCCTGAAGCCAAATGATGAAGTTCACCATGCTGTGTGTGTGATTGTGTTTGACATCAGACAAGCAGGAGCAGCAGTGTCGACAGCTGATGGCTGGTCTGGATAAGGTTGTCAGTGACCTGGACAAACAGGAGAAAGCCATTTATGCTCGAGTGCGCCCTCCACTGGAGCAGAACAGGCCACTGCAGGACAGCACTGACCGCCTGCAGGAAATGAAGGTAATGGTCCCCGCTTTATTCTGTAGCTTGACTTAAATGCTGTTTCTCACATCCCCATATTTCTCAAATTTATCTCAGAAAGCAGACAGATTGTATTCATGCATTGTACAACTCGCCAACCCACACGTTTCTCTCCAGGACATTGCTGTGGCCGTCGATAAGATTGAACCAGAGAAGTCCTCTAAAGTGCAGGAGGCAAAGAACTTCTTGGTCTCAAACCCCAACTGTGCAAGCACACCTCAGCTGCACAGCAAAGTGGATGAGGCCAACAAGAAGTACAACAAGGTCGAGCAGCTTCTCCAGTGCTCTCAGGACAAGTACGTGATCTGATATGTAGCTCAGTGTTTATTCCTCAGTATCATCTTTGGTATTGCTGATCCTTGTGGGAGCAGTGTTCCTCAAGTCTCTCTCTTACTAAACTGTTTTTATGTGTTCAAATCAAACGTGTAATTCAAAAATTTTAAATGCATTTTTACTCATCCAATAAATTTTGTTGTAGACTGAAGAATTCCAACCAGCTGGAGACGTCCATTCAGAATGGAAAGACTCTACTGTCCACCTACGAGAACAAGCTGGCCAGGGAGGAGGTTGCTCCGGCTGACATCACCTCGCTGGAGAAAACACAGCGGGAGCTCGCAGTAAGATGTTTCATTGATTCTTGGCACACGTTAGAATTGAAACAATGAAGACACACTGTGGTGTTTTTGATCACAAGTGGTGTTATGGAGCCACATTTTGATCAACAGAGTCTTAGTTTGCTCATATTCCTCTTGATTTGGTGACACTGATCAACATTTGGTGGTGGTAGGGCCTTTAGAAAGATAGCAAGATTAGGACTGCTGGCTCGCAAAATAGTCTCTGGTTTCTTCTGATAGGCTATTTGGACAGATCCAGGGTCAAAACAGAGACAGGGAACCAAACACATTCACACCTTACCATCACCAATTAGCCTCAGCATGTTTTTGGACTGTGAGAAGAAGCTGGAAGACTCGGTGAAAACCCATGCAGGCACAGGGAGAACATACACAGACCTAGATTCGAACTAAGGACCTTCTAGCTGTGAGACGACAGTGTTCTGCCCTATTCAGAGATATCATATCCAAATGTTATATGATATATATGATCAGTGGCCAAACTACAGCCTGAGTGGTTGGATAGTTTTTTGATAACCATACAACTCAGTGAGGATTATCATTTCTTTCCATGGCTCATTTACCCAGCAGGTAGAGCAACTGCCCTTGAGATCCTCCCTTAGGTGGTCTTGTGAGCAGGACCCTGTGATAGAAACGAATCTTAAGAACTTGAATCGCTGTTACCTTCTAATCACAAAAAAAACTCCACTATGGGTTATAAATTAAAAGTTATGCTCATTCACTGACATGCAGGAAACCTTGGGCCAAGCAGCAGGTTGGGTGGAGTTGGACCCCAACAACAATTTTGCGTCATGGCCTTCTTTTAAGTAAATTTGCCCATATACCTGACTTATACAACTGAAAAGACGGATGGTTTGATCGCCAAGATTAACCGCAATAAAGGTTTAAAATTATGCAAGTGAGAGATGCCAGTGACGTAGCAGAGAAGAAAGAGAGCCTCCACCTATCGTCTCATTTTTACTCCTCTGTGTTAATATGTATGCACTATTATATTATGTGTATTCGTGATATCTTCTTGGATGCTCTGGCAGGATGTTGGATCAGATCTGAGGCTGAAGAGGTCACAGATTGCTGATACAGAACAGAACCTGCGCTCAGCCAAGAGCAGCTGTGACAACATGGCCACCAAGTTCCAGGAGCACTGTCCAGACATTGAGAGGCAGGAAGCAGACGTCAAGAAGCTCAACAAGCGCTTCAACAACCTCACCAGGCAGATTGACAGCAGGTGAGACAGACAGTGTGTTGTTTAAGCTCTGTGAGCTAGTTGTTATTGGAATAAACGCTGAACATTACACCACAAAAGTACATAACATCTCGACTGGCCCGTAACATCTCCATAATGGTGCGTGTTGCAGGGCTCAGAGCTTGCAGAGAGCCAAGATGGCGTACAACAATTACCGCAACGATTACGACAATCTGAACAGTTGGCTGTCTCGTGTACCCAACTATGAGCCCCGCGAAACTGACGACGCAAGACAAGTGGAGACCAAGCTGAAGAATCAGAGGGTGAGAGAGACAAGAAGCAGGGCGATTATTACTAAATAATATTCTGTCCATGGTGTCTATAATAAATCTATAAACCTGTTTCAACAGAACTTGCTCTCAGACATTGCAAGAAAGGAGTCTGACTTGAACAATGTCGCCAAAAATGGCCAGCTTTACCAACAAGCTGTCAAAGTAAGATATTTTACATTGTTTTTTTTGTTTTTTTTTACAACCATCTTTAGTTTACAAAAATACAGTAAGTTTCAGTGGCGCTTTACTGTTTCTTCTTTGTAGGACTATGAGAATGAAACTGAGAAATTCAGATCTATCCTTGACCTTGAGGATGGACTTGTACCTCAGACATACAAGAAAAGCAGACTGGAATCACCTGCCATGACAGTCAAAGCAGAGGTAAGGCACAACTGTCAAGTTTTTGTATACAGCAGACACTCCGCTGTCTGCTTTATTCATGTCTTCCACAAGCCCCCCAGATGTTCAAGGGTGTTACTAACGGATATGTTTTACACAACCCTGCTAGCTCTTTCAGCATAGATTGTCAACTGCAGTCACCAATACAAATGCAAAGGGGTTCTGTAGCAATTTCAAAAAGGCGGAAGAAGTAGAGCAGTATCCCACCTTTTTGTTCCTATGATAAATAATAACCTCAGTAAACCCAGTGCCTACATAGTGCAATGAGATAGCATCTAGGTGGTAGAGTGGGTTATCTACTAGTCTAAAGGTTGACGGTTGATCTGAACCTAGCTAAGGTTAAAAGGTGCTACATAAGTGTGGGGCATTTACCATTTAGACACCCCAAGACTAGCACAGTGTTCCTGTTAAAGATTTAAACTCTCAAACTGACACCAAGATATTTTCAGATGGAATCACTGAGACATCCTAAGAGTTGTTTTCTACAGAAGAGCTGCAGAAAACAGCTGACAAGGAAACTAATATTGATGTGTCCAGTTGATTAAGAGCAGAATTACACGACTGTCATGTATCTGCCATTAAAAAATTCTTTACTCAAAACTGAGCTACAACTTTGGAAATAATATCTTCTTCAATTATTATCATCAAATTGGATACATGAAGCTGGTGGTGGAGGTAGTCTTGGGGGGTTGTCAGCCCGCAAGCTATTATGGGATCGACCTTAAGGTTCACAAAAAGTGACAAGGTTGTAAATAAAAATATTTTGTCACAAAACCAAACTTTTCTGACTTCTAAAAACTACTCAAAAGCAACAACAAAACATTACTTTCCCTTTTGTGACAAGGTTAAGGATGAGGCAAGTAGTTAGTTTAGCTTTAAATGGTAAGAAATCAAAATGTTCTGAACTACTGCAGTAACTTAAGGATTTTCTCTACGTGCTTTCTATGATGTTATTTCAATGTTTGCAGGAAGCTGCCATCGAGGCCAAGTTCACTGAGGTGAATGCTGTAAACAAGCAAAGGCTGAACAACCTTGAGTTTGCCCAAAGTCTTCTGAACCAGGTGAAACATTTTTAACATAATCATATGTACAAATAATAACATCAACATTAAAGAAAACTGTATAAATAACATTTTTCTGCCCCCTATAGCAACCTGAGATCCCTTTGATCCAGACTACAAATGTCAGGTCAGTCCATGCTGCTCCTCCAGGAGAAGAGCCATGGAGAATCAGGAAGCAGCTGGAAGATGAGATCCAGAGGAGGGAGCAGCTCGAAAAAGAAATTGAGACCATTCAGACTGACATTTATGTCCTTGAAGGACAGAAGCCCCAGGATACGATTGTCAAGAAGGAGCTGATTAAAAAGGTGCCAGATCCTCAGCTGGATGAGGAGGTCCACAAGGTCCAGCAGAAACTGTCAGAGGAGCGCCGTACCACCCATGTCCTGGAGAATGACCTCGAGGTACTCAAGCTGAAGCTGCGTGGCCTGGAGACAGAGGTCAAAGAGGGGGCACAGCAGTACACGGTGAAGGAGGTGCTGCGCATAGAAAGAGATCGTGGTCAGGAGGAAGAGGTGCGCAAGCTTCGCGAGGACCTGGAAGAGATAAGACGGCAGAAGTTGATGAAAGACAATGAGCTGATCCAGATACAAAAGCAAGTGACCCTCCTGGCTGAGGAGAAGAACAGGGAACAGGAGGTGATCACAGAAGAGGAGGTGATCAAAGTCCAGAATGACCCCCAACTTGAAACAGAGTACCGGGTGCTCCTTGACAGGAAACAGAAAGAAGTAGACGACAGAAAGCAGCTGGAGGATGAACTGCAATTTCTTCAGGAGAAGCTCAGACGACTGGAGAAGGAGAAATCAATGGCAGAGGAGAAGATCTCCATCAAGGAGGTGCTGAAAGTAGAGAAAGATGTTGCCTTTGAAAGAGAGGTAGAAAACCTCAGGAGGCAGTACGAAGATGAGAAATCTAAACGAAGATCGTCACAGCGGGAAAGGGCTGATCTCCAGAGGAAAATTACAAGCCTGGAGGATGAGAAGTCCAAAGTTGTTATTCAGGAGAAAGTGCGGGAGATTGTCCGCCCTGACCCCAAGGCTGAGAACGAGGTTGCAAACCTGCGTCTTGAGCTGGTAGAGCAACAGAGACGCTACAAAGATGCAGATCTGCAGCTTAGATCCCTGAATGATGAGCTGACCATGCTAAGAAACAGAGGACCTCAAGTGGAAGTCAAAGAGATCATCAAAGAAGTCATCAAGTACAAGACAGATCCACAGACTGAAAGAGAGCTGGAGAGACTCCGCAATGAAATCGTAGATAAAACCCACCAGACGGAGAAATCTGAGATGGAAATTCGCCAGCTTCGTGATGAAATTACAAGATGGAAGGACACCAAACCTCAAGTGCAGACTAAAGAGGTGGTCAATGAAGTATTGCAGTACAGAGAAGATCCCAAGACTAAGGAAGAGATTGAGACTCTGAAAAAGAAGCTGGGTGATGAACAGAAGAAACGCCTTGACCTTGAGAGAGAGCGGTCAGCCCAGGAAGAGAAGATCAGAGTGAGGAAGATGGATCTGTCTCAGGTCCGTGAGAAGATTGTTCAGCAAGAGGTGATCAAGATGGAAGAAGATCCTCTACTCAAGTCAGAGTGCGACACCTTCTCGCAGAACATCAGCACTGAGCAAAAACAAAAGGAGAACCTGAAAACAGAGCTCTACCAACTGCAGAGACAGAAGACGGACCTGGATTTGCAACTGGAAGAGCTGGAGCGTGAGCGCAGGGCAAGACGTGATGCAGAGCTCGAGATCCAAAGGCTTCGGATCAGACTTAATGAGCTGGAGATCCGTGACAAGGAGAATCGTGAGAAAGTCACCGTCAAACAGAAGGTGGTCTTGCAGCAGGATCCTCAACAGGAGAAGGAACATTCCATCCTCAGACTTCAGCTTGATGAAGAGAGGCACAAGCGCACCTTGCTTGAGAAAGAGTTGAACGCTCTGGTCCAGCAGCAGCTCACCCTGGAGAAGGTGGATGTGAAGGAAAGAGTCGTCCGCACCGAGAAAGTTCAAGTTGAGAGGGATCCGGAGGCTGAGATTGAGATTGAGAACCTAAAGAGAACCCTGGAGGAAGAGAAAAGGAGAAAACGAGAACTTGACGTGGAGCTGTCCACCCTTACCTCCAGGCTCTCTGATATGGAGTTCTCTAACACCAAGTCGTCTAAAGAGCTGGACTACATTCGTGACGAAAGTAACCAGCTGCAGCAAGAAAACCAGAGGCTGCAGAATGAGATCCGTAAGTTGCGGTCCGAGATCGAGATCACCAGCAAAGAGACTCGACTTATCACTGAGGCCGCACCAAGGGACGACGGAAAGAACTTGGAGTTGAGGCTCGTTTCACTGCAGAAGGAACTGTCAGACCTGAAGGGCATAACTCTCAAGAAGGATGAGGAGATCGAGAAACTTCAGAAGAACCTGTCAGCCGTTAGAATGAAGAGGGAACAGAGGGAGAGCCATCTGCGCAGGTCTATCGTGGTCATCGACCCGGATACGGGCAAAGAGATGCGGCCAGAGGAGGCCTACAAGCTGGGCCTGATCGACTGGAAGATGTTCGTCAACCTGCAGAGCCAGGAGTGTGACTGGGAGGAGATCAGCGTCAAGGGCCCCAAAGGAGAATCCTCTGTGCTTCATGACAGAAAGTCAGGGAAAAAGTTCTCCATCGACGATGCGTTGCGTTTCGGGCACATCACAAATCGCCAGCTTCAGCAGTACATAAATAAAGAAATCTCCATCCAGGAGTTTGGTGTAATGGTGTCGGGAAAGAACAAGTAAACGTTCCAACTGTCTAATAACGCGCTATCAGTTTGATTTTAAAAGATTGTATCTGTTTTAACACTGTTGTTTGAATGGCTCCTTGATTTTTATTGTACTTCTTTTCTCACTTTAACACTGTGGTGAACTGGATTTATTATTATTTTTTTGTATTTTATCCTTGATTTCTAAATGCACTGTGTATTTATTTGTTTATTCATTGGTTTTGTGTTACTGGGGCAAGAAAATATGGGTTGACGTCAGCATCATTAAGCTTGATGTTGTAGGAAAGCTTTTCAGTTGACCTGTAATTTCTTTGACTCGGTACTGGGAAGACAGACTTAGAGCATATCTGTGATTTGATGTTGTCATTGAATCCCTTTTGATAATGTTTCATTTATTCATGGGGTTTTTTTTTCCGAGGTTATTTTATGTGTGTGCTTTGCAAGCTTAAATAAAAGAAATCAAACTGGGAAAAGTGTGTTTTTGTGAGTGTCTGTGTTGTAGTAAAACACGAGTGTAGATTCAAATTTTTATTAGAGGAAATGTAATGTTTAATTCTGTTTACATTATTTTGATGATGGACTCCCAAAACATGGCCCAGGATATCGAGATGCAACAATAATGACGAGGGCTTGAAAGTGCATTGTGTTAGGACAAATTTTACTTGTAATATAAATCTACGCTGTCATCAGCAGAAGGCGCCATCCCTCATATGAGATGCAGCTAAAAGCTCTGAAAAACTAAGAATTTTCACATTTTGTGTCAGAAATGAGTTTCATTGGATCAATACAAAATTTGGTGTAAATGAACGATGACTGGATTCACCATCGGACGTATGGTTTGTGGACATAGATGGGAAATTGTAAGCTAAGAAAGGTGTTGTGTGATTCTTGCAGGAAACTTTCTTGCAGTCTTTCCACTATGGAGAAAGGATTTCCCTATTCCCTTCATGCAGATCAAAGTACGATGCTTCAATTCAGACTTATCTCACCTGAAACTGATGCAGAAGTCTTGCGAGGTCTGACCTCCTATGAATGCCACCATTACTTTAACAGAAAAGTCAACAGTTAACAGTTAATAGTGTGCTAACTGATACAGCTGCTGTCAGGTTAATAGAAAGAAGTACATGGTTGAAAAGGGCTCCATTTAACTTAACCTGTTTAGTTTATTTCTGTGTGAATTATTTTGTAAAATCCAACAACTAATGCTAATGTTGATGAGTACCTTAACATTCACAGATCTGTTCCCTGTGATATGGGATAATGATGATATAATAATAACAACATAATAATGATATAGTACATCTGGCTTTCCTGGGCACTCAAAGACGCTTACCACTGTCAATTATTCATTCACACACATTCATTCTGGTGGTGGTAGCTATGATTATAGCCATAGCTGCCCTGGAGCAGACTGACTGGTGTGGCTGCCATCCTCTGACCACCACCTCAAACAATCCATTCATACGCATTCACACTGTGCAAGGTGGGTGAAGTGTTTGCCCATGGACACAACAACCGTGACACAGGTTACAGAATCGAGCTGATCTTCCGATCACTGACCGACCCGCTCTACCACCTGAGCCACAGCCGCCTTTAACATATGCACAGAAAATGCTGTGCCAAAGAGGGATCGTTGTGGATTGCTGTTAAAGCTGCACGTATGTCTACAGCTGCTTTTTAAGATTTTTTATCTGGATTAAACAGTCATAAGGTACAAAACCACAACTTTATGTCTGTGGTGACTACAAAAGTAAGCCTGTGTGAAACTTTAAGTTTCTCTAAGCCAGTAAATGTGACCACAAAAATGTTTTCTGTTTATGCTGGAATCAGGCCTGACATGTTGGGTGATTGTTTTGTATATATTTGTTATGTCCAATATCCCGTTTTAGACTCTAACATAATTCACAGAATGATTTTCTATACACTGCCCATAGATAAATAAATAAAGGGAACACTTAATCATCACAGTGGAACACCAATTCAACTAAGCTTCTGGGACATCGATCTGTCCAGCTGGGAAGATAAAGTGATTGTGAATCCCTCCCTCAGTGGGTTTTTGGTTTCAACTGTCCATTCTTACATCATTTTGTTCTCAGTAAATGAACCAGTGTATATCAATGATTTACGTGTTCCCCTAAAATTTTTTGAGCAGTGTATAAAATTAAGATTAAAAAAAAAATTATTCTATGGGCTGTAATCTTTAAAGTACAATCCCTCACAATTGAAATCAAGTTATTTTTGATGCATAAGTAAGTAAGTAAGTAATAAGTAAATTTCAGTGACATTGTAGGGACTGCAGAGGGGGGAAACTGCATTATATGAGTTTAAATGTTTGTTTTTTAATTCTAAGCAGTAAAAACAACAGGATAAGTTTTAATGGAGGGGACAGACCAGGGTTTCTTTTTCTTTTCTTTTTTGCAGACACGTGAAAGTTGTTTTCTTTTTTTTTTTTTGCAGACTTTTACTTTTTAGCAGTGTGCTGTTATTGCAGACCTCCCACCGATAGGGGGCGGTAGGTCCTATTAAAAAGAGCAGCACCGACGCTTTGCCTGGCTATTTATTTACAGAAATTACAATCTTATTTAATATTAAACCTCATTTAATATTCTGTGTAACAAAAATATAAATAAAAACTTTTAAAGCTCTTTGTTTCTGACATGCGGACTAAACCACATCCGGTGTTTTCATGCCTGTATACTTGACGTTCTGCAGGATGTTCACTTATGTTTATATATATTTTAAAAAATTACTACGTTATTTATATGTTAGCGCTTGAAACGAGCTTCGAGTGTCGTGTAAAGTGCTGCTAAACAGCGTGGCGGATGTTACATAGGGAGGAAGGATCTGTCCTCACATGTAATTAGTGGGTGTGTGTTGTCTTTTCCACTCAGTGCGACGTTTTATTAAAGTTGTAAGATGGCGACGGTGCATCTGAGGATCGGGGATCTAGTGTGGTGAGACAACCTTTAAAACACTTCCAACGCCCCCCGTTCCGGCTCGTGGTGCGCGGACTGGAGTTGCCCCACTTAGTTTTAACTGTGGTGTCGTGTCGTTCCGTGTTAACAACGCGTTGTTCTCGACGGCGTACGCGTACTAGGTTAGTTGATGGTCAACCTAAATACGTTGCTAACCGAGCTGACTCAGCCAGCAGCCGTCGTTAGCCGCCAGCTAGCGGACAAGCGCTCGCTTTGGACAGGTTTTAGGTTCAAACTAAAAAAAAAAAGACTTCTTGACACGCCAAGTTTATGGATTAAATTCGGGTGTTTGTGTGCAAAGCGTCGCCCAGTAGACGCAATAAGTCGGAGATGTTGTGGTCTGTGGCGAGCCTTGCTAGCACCCTTAGCTTAAGCGGATATAATGTTCACTAACTGTGGATGTCTTTGCGTTTCCGTTTTAACTGAAGCCGCGCACGACTGTCGCTTATCCGGATGCTCACACGAGTTCCCCGCTAATCTTGATAGTGGGTGAAGCTGAACGCGTAAAAGGTGACTTGCTGGTGCGGGCAATGTCATAAAACTGGTGATCTCGTGTTGCCTTGTGGCACCAGTTTGCATCTGTCATGGGGCTCATTGTCATCAACATCACAAGCTGCTGCTTAGACTCACTGTCTCTTGAAACACTTATTTGTCGACAGATCTCGTTCAAGTCATTTATTTCCCCTGTTTCTTCCATCATTTTCCTGAAGCTGCTTCTTTGTTGTCAACATGAATTAAAGCGTTGCTGCTGCGAAATGTAGAAAACATGATGCACAAGGTGAAAACTCACACAAAATGTGGCAGGAGGGAAGGTTTGACATCTGAGAACATGGAGATACACATGGAACAATAACAGCTCAGTGAAGCCTGAGCGTACAAACAACCATGAGATAATCATTATGAACACACACACTGATATCAGAAAACATCCAGAGCCTCGCTTGATAAACCAACACTGAGCTTCCTTTGTTTTATCCTGTAAAATATCTGCTGTTCTCTGCATCCAAGTCGCTGAATGCAGATTCAAAACACACTGACGACAGGTTTAATAAAAGATGTCAGAGTTCTTATAAATTAGATATTATTGAAGCACATGCAGCTAGACAAGAATAAACTTTAGAGAGCTTCAGTTTTTCCTCATAAATACACTTTTGATCCCACCGTGCTGGATCATTTTCAACATACACTTGACAGGCCCTCCAGCAAGTCGTGTAGCTGGTTTGCAGGGATGAGGTGAAATACAATACAATGGAGTGTGTTAAATCGCCAGGAGTAATGCGTCTCTGTGCCGGAGAGAAAGCATACACCAGGGCTAAATGTGTCCCTCTTTATTTCAGGGGGAAGCTTGGTCGCTACCCACCATGGCCGGGAAAGGTAAGGAGAGACATCTTGCCACCGGCCTATTTAATACCAATTCCAGCATGACACACTATTATGTTAATGCAGCACTAAAATATTTATGCACATTTCAGATAGTAAGCCCTCCCAAGGACCTGAAAAAGCCCAGGGGCAAAAAGTGCCACTTTGTGAAATTCTTTGGAACTGAAGACCAGTAAGTATGGACCACAAGCTGCCTGTTCTGACTGACTGCCTTCTCCATCAAATGTGTGAGAGTTTGTTTCTGCGTGCCTGTCCAGTGCCTGGATCAAAGTGGAACAGCTGAAGCCCTACCATGCCCACAAAGAGGAGATGATCAAGATAAATAAAGGGAAGCGCTTCCAGCAGGCGGTGGATGCAGTGGAAGACTTCTTAAAGAAAGCAAAGGGGAAAGAGCAGGTGATGAAGTTGTCTTTTAACACTAAATCCAGCAGTCTGGCGTTTCTGGAAACTCTATATTTCCTCCGTCTCAACCCGAAAAAAAAAATCTTGCCTTTATTATAGCTTGTTGATTTACATTCACATACGTCAGATGCACAGATTTCAAGATACTTTCTGAATGCTTAAGACTAGAGATACAACTCGAGGAACTGGGGATTCAAACCGGTAACAGTGAAAGCATCAGAATCACTTTGCTCTGTCTGACTGTGCACAGAGCAGCCTGGGATAGTGACACAGTAGACTGAAAAGTTTTGCAAACAGTCCTGTTTCCAACTGAACAAACTGCAGACCTTTTGTGTAATGTAAATGGAGAAGGGTGACGGAAGCAGAAGGTAGAGCAGCATGATGCAAACCCTGTTAGTTCAGAGATCTCGGCACACTCAATACTCTGCTGTGCTGAATGCTGGGGAGTTGAGATGAACTCTGTCTGAACCGCACCAAGCTGTGGCACCACACGGCTGAAAGTTCTGTCCAGAGCCACGCAGCAGAGGCATCCCATTATGCTTTTTGTAATTCTGCTCTATGATAAATGTCTGAGTTGAATTCTGATGTCTGATGCAAATTATCAAGTGGTGGATGTGAGTAAAACATGAGTGTAATGTTTGGGGGCCTCGCTGTTAAGTAGTGTAATTGGGCGGTGTCTGTATATAATGTAGGTGAAATCGATAAACTATCTGCAGATAAGGGTGCATGTCACTCACAGTGTAATCTCCTGTTAGCAACGTAGCTCTGGTTTCATTTACCAAAACACTACATTTATGCCGAAAACATTTGGCTGAGTGAATGAAATCATAGAAGGCTGGAATGTTAATAGATGAGAATCTACACCTCTGAGGTGCCTCAAAACAATTGCAGGGGTTCTGGGACAGAGTTGTTAGGAAGAGATTTTTTTCCTACAAGATACCCAGGGACCCCTGGATTATGTACCTGGGTTTGATTCCAAGAGGTGTCATCCAAAAGAAGGACATGTGTCTTTTCAACATATTGACCTCGGCATGTAAAAAGGCCACAACATGAAAATGGCCAAAAAAGAGATCCCCTAAGCTCAGGACAGTGGCTGGATGTAGTTCAGGAGATTTACTCGATGGAAAAATGATCTTAGAAAGGCAGCAGTGACTCTGGACCGACGGTGGCATGAATGGACCGTGTACATGGGGACACAATGGGTCAGATACTCAGCAGACCTAATGGACAATGATAAAGGCTGTAATAAGAGTGGGGTGCCCCAATTTTATTATTTATTTTATTTACTTTTTTTTTTCTTTTGCATGGAGTTTGGTTGCATCATCGTTGTGAAGTGGAAAAAAAACAAATTTACACAATACTAAATATGACAAAGGCAACTTGTACTTTAATATTACATTTGTACAAACCCATACCTAAACTTGCTCTTTAGTGAGTAAGTCATGTATAAATGTTGCTCCTCATAATTTAGCCTTTAATGTTTATTCTTCAGTTTAACAATCCGCAATATGGAACACATTTGTTTCGATTGAAACTGATTTGAAGTGAACCAACAATTATAGAAGTGTGATTTCATTCAGTGAGTCCTGTTCATCCTCGCCGCCTTCGTGAAATACTAGCAGGTGTGAAATTCAATCTCGGCAAATGTGTATCCGTGTAGACAACAACTGTCCACCAGAGTTAGTGCATCCAACATGTGTTTTCTCTTGCTTGGCGTACATGCGACCTGGTCAGACAGGGTTTTTAACGCCATGCTGGATTTTTAAAAAGCTGTTGGACTGCTGAGAACTCTTTGACAGCACAAAGTGACAGTTTTTGTTTTTGACAGAACTCAGATGGCAAAGGCGATTCGAAAGGAAAGAAGACACCCAACAAGCCACTGAAAATACTGGAGGAGGACGACGAGGATCTCAGTGCCCTGAAGGACCCCTCCGAGAAGGTCAGTAGGACGCTGGCACGTTAAAAATCTGAATCTGGTCGGCTACAATTGTGCAGTGACCACGCCCTGATAAATTCAGTTATGCAGCTTTATTACAACAAAAACCTGCACAACTGCCCCCTGCGGAGTCTAAAATACAAACGTGAACACTGCTCCTGACATTAGGAATACTAGCTGCACCTAATCCACGTGCCAGTGATGTATCCTGATTTTCCTACACAGAAAGTATGGTGGTAAAAAACGTTTTCCACTTGGAAGAATATTCCTGAAACTGTTCTCGGGCAGAGCTTAGGTGAATAAAATAATATATTCAAGTTGTAGGTGCTGTCAGGGGTTTCTGATGGTGAGTGTATGCGGTCAAGGAAATGTGATGTCACATTACAACAAGGACAGCAACAAAAACAACCACAGCATCCAGTGTTTTACCTCTGCATGGACTATAACAGTACTTCCAGGGTCCTTTAGCCAAAATGCTGAAAATTGGATACAGAGGATTACAGTGTTGTCTGACATTTTGGATGTCCCTTGCGGACATTGATTGGCTCGTGCCAACCCAAGCACTGCCCTTGATTCCCTGTCGGTTTACAAACTTACTCACATAATCCTGTTAAAAAAACCAATCACTACCACAACCGCTCCTTCTGTTCTATCCCAGAAGCGATTACTTCAGTCGTCCTTCATGAAGCCCTGCATTTACTTTGTAAACACAATGTGTGCTGACCTGTAAAAATACTGTGAACAGAATGTCCCTGGTGTGATTCCTGTTGGGCCGGACCCTTTGCTGCGCGTCGTCTCCGTACTCTCTCGACCACCTTAACGATTCACCAACTCTCCACCTCTTCCGTGTCAATAAGGCATAAAAATGGCCAGTAGTGATGTCTGTGAAGATTCTCAGTCATCCAGGTCATAGATAGTCTTGTAGATTAATCAACTGGACTTGCTTGAGTTCCTTGAAGACGTTCCACCTCCCATCCAAGAGGCTTCATCAGGTCTGACCGACTAGTTGGGAGTTCCAGATACTGATATCCTAAAGGAGTCATTAACACCTGTGTTACGGTTTCATTTGGGGGTTTGTTGCTCCTCCCCCTCGTTATGTGGGTCGTTACTGCTCCCCTTGACACAGTGGGGTTCGTTAGGGTCCCCAGGAAGATGAAACCGTACTCACAGCTCGCCACAAAAGACCCTAACGAACCCCATTGAGAGGAGAAACGTTTTCAAGGAACTCGAGCAAGTCCAGTTGCTGCGATTAATCTACAAGAATGGCCAGAAGTTTTTTTTTTTGAAAAGCCTTATAAAGCACTGACCTCACTTTTCATAAACAGGCCGTAGAACGTATTTAAAAAGTCTTAAATTGCATTACAGGAACATATGGAGACCCAGTTAAGAGAGAGCAGGTACACAGAAGATCCTTGTAGCAAGACTTCACCCAGTTCTTCACAAGTTCTGAACATGGAAAGCTCAGATAATAAGTTCCTGCTTTGTAAAAGGCAGAAAAATATATTTAATAGTTTAATCACTACCTATTACTCGATTACATTTTCCAATTGGTTTATTAAATCGTGACTATTGTCATCAAAGTCGTACACTTTCAAGGTTTTGTGTTTGTAACCCTGCAATCATTTACTTCTTTATAGCAAGAGGTTTGTTTTTTTTTCTAACATGCCACCCTGGGTAATACCTGAAGTATACCAGGTGCCACACTTACATCTTTATGACATCATTGAAACCTTCCACTTGACGTCAAGTGTAATCTGTCCGTGCACATCAGGTTGGTATTATTTAGCGTAAGGTTTTTGGAGCTTTCTGCCTTCATCTCGACACGGTGGAGTTTTATGAAGTTCTATATTTGGTGCTCAACGCTGTCTTCTCTATATGTGGCAGAGAAACGCTCCCTACTACAGCAGCCATGGACTTCTACACATTCACCCTTTGATCTAAAGGTGAATATTTGTCTTTCTCATCCTTAAGGACTTAACTGACTCTGACCCCGAGCCGTCCACTATTGAGAGGCTGGGGGCTGGACCTGGCTCAGGATTCAAATGGGAAAGCAGTGTAGGTGAACCCCCACCCCTCACCCCCTCCTTCCCACCTGGCCTGCCTTGCCTTGCCTTGCTGTTCTTCTACCTGAACTTAACCTTTGGCTTCAATTCACAAACAACTGCAGACCTTTTCCTTCTGACCTGTTTGGTGCTCGTCTTGACTGCTGAAGCTGTTTGGTTTGTGTGTGCTCTTGAGTTGGACCGCAACTTTGTATGCAGTGGCTCAAAAAAAAAAAAAAACAAGGCTGTGGTTTGCTTAACCCAAAAATGCAATTTCCTGATCAGCCTTCTGCTTTCTGTGAGCTGTGAAGGAAAGGAGAGCCAACAGAGGTGATAACCGCTGTTAACTAATTGCTCTTAAACTGGTTTGACCACCAAGTGTGCACACGTGTTGAGTCAATAACCGTTTGGTCGTCGTCAGTGGAAGCATTTTACCCAATTATTGCAGCTGACTATTTTGTTTAACTGGTGTGGAATTCCAAAAATGACATAAATGAAGTTCTGTGGAGCCAAAAGGCCTGAATGTACACAACTGTAAGCAGCTACTCCTCATGGAGAAAGCAGTGCCTGCCCCCCATTTGTAAATGAATATAATTTGCTGCTGACAGCTGCCTTCCGCCTTCTTTAGGGCTTATTTAGTTGTAAACAGAATCCGCCCACTTCCTCCTGTAGGTTTGACACTTTCTCTTGTAGAATAATGCAACGTATTGCGCAAAAATTACAGCTTGTTTCATAAGAATTTTTTTTCTGCTTTGGAAATCTAAATTTTGTTGATTGCATTTTTGTTTAGCGCCTGAAAGGAACCGTCAAAGTGTGTGACTGCTTTGGGCGTTAAACTTCACTGGTGAGGAGCAGATAATGACTCTAGAGGTGCATGATACGAGTACCTGAAGTAGTACAATTGTTTTAGTGTACACACATATACGCAGTGCTCTACTTATTTTCAAACTTTGTAGCTCAAATTTCTCCAAAAGATTAATTGTTATTACTGTTTTACTTCACATTTATCAAGTGTTGGATGGAAAAACTGCAGAGTTCAGGATAGAACTGCATCAAGAACTCATGGACTTAATCCTCTGAATCCCAAAACTAGTGGATTTTAAAGGCGCGTTGTCTCTACAAAAGTATTTATCAGAGCTTTAAACTGCAAACACAGAAACAAACATCAGATTTTCAACTTTCTGACAGTACTTTGATTAATCACGGGAGGTTCCATCAGGAAAATGAACCAAATCGCACTAGATTCTATGAAAAATAAGACATAAATAATTGAAATTTTGTGCTCCTTAGTGCAACTGAGAAGCCATGACTGACTGAAATGTGACAAAACAGACTGAGACTGTGTTTACAGAGAGCAGATACAAGTCAAGCATGGGAAAAAAAAAACTGGAGAGATAGAGTAAAATAAAACATACTTAAAAAAAATAATCCTGGTTATGGTTTAGTATCACTTTCGAAACGGTAATCACAGAAACATTTGCATGGCCACGGTTGCTGATATGCTACTGTTAACATTCAGCAGTGTAGGGAGTGATGAAAAGCACAGTTTCAGTCACTATTTTCCAACATTTTATTCTCTCAACAGTTAATTAGAAAATAGTTGTGTTATGTTTTGGTAACAAAGATGACTGTTGGTTTGTGCCCTGTGATGGAATGATGGCGTCCACCTCTCCTCAGGCTTTTTGTGTTCATCACTTGAATCCCTCAGTGAGATTTTGACAGAAATTAAGTCCCATCACATCTTTTGCTACAGTTGACGTCCTTGTCTACATTATCGAGTGTTTTCAGATTAGGTGACGCTTTCAGACGTGCCCTCTGTTCCGTTAATCAGACGGCAGCTGAAACGGTCGACTGCACGTGTCGCTTATCTGTAAAAGTCACGCCGGCAATCTTACTAGGTCGAAGCGACCTAACTTCCACAAGTGTGAACTGAGCCGTCGCATTAACGGATGGACAAGCAGCGGTAGTTTGAGTTGTAAGAAGTGATTCGAAGGGAAACGGGTTGATCAAGATCGAGCTGCGAACATTTCTTCTCCTCAGACGGGTGAACTGTCACAAAGAGTCACCGGTTATCAGCTGCACTTTCACATTTTGTCACATTGTCGCGGCCCTCAGGTTGAGTCCTGAGCTTTCAGTTTTACTGTTTTGGATATCAGAAATAAACTGGGCTGTTGGGTAACTGGACACTTTGATCAGCTGCTGGTAGTTTAGTTTATGACATTGTTGTATCCCGTACATTACCTGGTGTGTTGACTAGTGTGGGTGGTTTGTGAGGAACATAAACGGACGTTTGTGTGAAAGAGGTTGAGTGACAGAATGCCCACTTTAATGGATTGAATAACCGAGCAATGTTCCACATCGCATGGCCGAAAGGAGCTTTATAAGCTTCCAATGTTATTACTACTCATTATTACAGACATCAGTAGCTGAGACACTTCTTATATTTGACAGGTGCAACCCACTTGCTAACTAACTGGTTGTTGCTAAGAGCTTCTTGCTTTGTGGTGGATCTCTCTACAGCCGGGCCGCCTGATCCCATGTGTGTATTATTCTGATGACCCGTTCAGCCTGACACAGTGACACGGGTTAACCTGCGTCAGGGTCTCTGTACGGGTCGACCCGTCCTCCTCTAGAGCCGGGATGGACACAAGTCTGAACCCCAGCTTTGCTCACATTGTGTTGCTAACAAATGAAAATAAATCCAATGATTTCAATTCATATTAACCAACTTGAATTGCAGTTTAATGCAATGTGTAAGAGAGGAGAGAGAAATCCACACATGGGAGGGCGGAGTCTTTGTTAGTTCTCTTAAATAAATGTGTGTGTGCAGTGCTGTGGGAAATGATTTGCCTCCTTCCTGATGCCTTCTATTTTTGCATGTTTCTCACACTTAAATGTTCCAGATCATCGAACACAAATGTGTTTAATGTTAGACAGAGATTGCAGTTTGTAAATGATAATATATTAAAAACCTACATCACTCCTGTGAAAAAGTAATCGCCCTCCTAAACCTAATAACAGGTTGGTCCATGCTTGGCAGCAACAACTGCAGTTAAAGGTTTGCGACAGCTTGTGATCAGTCTTTAACATCATCATGGAGGGATTCTGGCCCACTCTGCTCTGCAGAATAGTTTTAATTCGGCCACATTAGATGGTTTTTAATCATGAACTGCCCTTTTAAGGTCTTAACACGGCATCTCAATTGGATTAAAGTCTGGACTTTGACTCGACCACTCTAAAACCTTCATTATGTTCTTTTTGGACCATTCAAAGGTGAACTTACTTGTGTGATTGGGGTCATTGTCATGCTGCATAACCTATTTGAGCTTTAGGTCATGAACT